TTTTTTCCTATTTTATGGTATGATGTGGTCTATCTAGTTGGTATATAAACCTGGTATGTTTGAAATAAATGATTCATATTGCAGAGGCTGAGATTGGTGTTCTGGACTTAACTGGCTGGGCAAGGCGTAAAGCAGGACCGTTAAAGGCTGTAGACTGCTCGTATGGGTTTACGCGTTATTGATCCGGTCGATAATTCACCGCTCTCCAATTAGCGGTATCAATACGTATACATTCACAGGGCACTCAGGCCACAAGTTATAACAAAATCAATAAAAGTATGTGAAATTTACTAGTGAAAAATCATCAAACACTAATAACTCTGTAACCTATCCATGAATATTCAACTCACCGGTGTAGGACATATTTAGAAGTTGTCTTTAGTATATTGATTTCTTCATCTTTTCTATATGAAATGGAATTGATTTTAATATTTTCTAACAAGTTGTTAATGATATTCTATTGTAGTACAACACAAATTTTTATATGATTCTTGTACATTACATTATTTATTTATAAACTTTCTATACGTACTGTTGTACTATTTTTGTCAAGTATTCAATTTTCAATCAAATAAAATTAACTAATCACTTCTATATAGATGCTAAAATTAAATTTTCAAAATTTATCTTCCTTCGTCAATCATATGAAACATTGACATAATAACTATCCATAATTGAATATTTCATTAATTACATATATGATATATATTACCAAGTGGTGAATGTTTTCATCTGCTACGACATAAATACTTCAAAATTATGTTATTTATAAGTAAGAAAAGTCATTTAATAAATATTATTACTATCAAAAGGGGTTTTGTGGATATTATAGTAATTTCAATACTTATGATCGTGAGTCAGTTGAAGCTAGGCCACCATGGAAAACCTGAAAGCACTGGACGACCGTTTCGTCATAGTGCGGGACTCCTTAGCGTGATCCCATCTCTCAGGATTCGAACTCAGGACGTATCAGTTTTGAGAGCGAGCAATCAACCACTAGATCACTGAGCCAGCGGGCATCCAACGGTGTTAATGTCCAACTTCAAAAAATCCAAAAAACTGAGCGACATATCCACCATTGTCATCAGTGAGTTACTATCTTACCAGAACTCCAGGATATACACCTTGAAGCTAGTCACTAGTGAGCATGTGTTGATTACTATCAGTAGGGGTTTTGTGGAGATTGTAGTGATTTGAATAGTTGAGATCACGAGTCGATTAAAGCTTGACCACTATGGCAAACTTGGAAGCACTTGACGGCCATTTCATCTTATTGTAGAACTTCTAGATTCGAATCCCGTGAGGCGGGGTTATGGATTCTCATTACTGAGGAGTCCCATATTAGGACGAAACGGCCGTTTAGTGCTTCCAGGTTTTTAATGGTAATCTAGCTTCAATTGACTCATGAATTCAACGATTAATATCTACTATTATAATATCCAGAAAATCCCACTCTGAATATAACATTGTTAAATTCATTAATACATGGTTTATTTTGATCTTTGTAAAATATCACAATAATTATGAACTTATTCGATATCTATAAAAATACTGTAATATTTTAATTAAAAATTTAATTAATTTTAATGTTATTAGACGGATACATGTAAAACGTTAATACTCAAAGAATAAAATATATACATAGTTTATTTAATTAATCATATAACCCAAAATTTAATTAAAATATAGTAAAAATTCATTGAAAATAAACTAATTAATATTCTACTTTTGGAAATTAGAAGAAAAAAAATCAACATTTTAAAGAAAAGAAAAAAATTTTAAATTAATTATTGATTAGTTCATTTGTTTGTATAGATTTATGAAATATATATGTTCAATAGTTGTTTGATTATATTCCTATATAGATATCATGAACAAGATTTAATTTGATAATTTCGAATAAATTGAGCATTAGGTAGATTGTTATAAATAAAAATAATATATTTGTAATATCCCAATGAGTAGAAAATTTGGTTAGTTATTCTCTGAAGAAGTGACTTACACTAAGTCACGAAACGTCAGAAAATCTAATTTTCTACTCATTTGGATATTACAAATGTTGGGATATTTGGAAAAATATACCAATAATTATCATGTTAAGTTTAATAGTGTCCTTGAACTTTAAATGGACATTCCCTATTGGTCAGTATTTATTTCACTTGTTAAATATTGTGTAAATGTTGTTTTCTATTTTATGGTACGATGTGGTCTATTTGGTTGGTATATAAACAGAGTATGTCTGAAATATAATGATTCATATCCCAGAGACTAAGACTTGCGTTCTGAACTCAACTGGCTGGGCTAGACAGCGAAGCAGGGCCAATCGAAACTCTAGGTCGTCCTTACGTGTTTACGCGTCATTGATCCGATCGATAATACGCTGCGCGTCTAATATGAAGTCCACAAGCCATAACAACAAATATATTATTTATTTATATTACTATATAGTTTTAATTCACAACTTTCATACCATTCATAAATACTATAAATATGGTTACTTAGTTGATTATGTAATGAGATTTATAAACTGTAAAATATTACTTTGTATATCATTCATAAAATTATATGTACTATGAATCATTATAACATAAAGTATCTTTTCACGATTGATCTGATTTATTGATACTCTAATTGGAGGTCTGTAGAAATGATTGTTCAAGTTTTCAATGATCGTCCAACCTAGATTACCATGATTTAAATGAAATTCAAAATAATTTATTTTTCAGGTTGATAGTAATGAAACTGATGGATCTATGTCAGAATATAAGTAAGGTTATTATTAGGATCTTCTACTTGGTCATTCTTAACATAAATGATTAACCATTAAAACTTTTTTCATAACATATTAAATGTTATTCGTTATACATTACTGGTGGGAATTGAGTAAACCCATGGTTTCAACAGTACTAGTTTTGCATGTACTTTTAACTTGATTATTTCTTTATTTGCTCAAATATTAAAATTCCTCTTGAATGCTTTATAATGTTGATTGTTTGTGTTTTCATGTTTAAGATTCCTACCAAATAAATTAAATTAAGATATTTAACCTCAGCTCTACTTCATTAAGCTTGGTTTATATCGTTAATGTGTTAAATGAAACTAAAATATCTTAAACTCTGATTCATAGACAATTGTGTATAAACACCTGTACTTTTTTGATGATGGTTGTGGTAGTTTTCCAAGTTTCAGCTCTCAAATTCAGTCGACCACCAGATGGACGAGAAGATAGCAGAATAAACACTTTTACCTGGCACCAGTCTTCACTTGGAATACATATGTCAGCTGTCCTCCATGTACGACGTTGTAGTGTAGTCCGTGGTATGAATTCCGTATGATGGTTACAAACTTATCAGGTACATCATAGTGTGGGAGGAATTTCTGTGAGGTTATCCTATTCACGCTTTATCATAGCCAAAGAAATCGATACACTGCGATCATTCCCATGCAGGTGATTGTTTAACAATGATCCATAATTTCGTGATTTGGTCTCTACGTGATTGATTTTAACGCAATCCAACCTAGTTGTCTCAAAGTTGAGCGCCTACTGCATCTTTCATTTAGTTCAACAACACTCTGCTGAAGTAGCGCGGTGCTTCTGTAGTTCTCAAATTTTCTCAGATCTCGTTTCTTTAATTTTCTTCTTTCCAGTTCATTGGCACTTGTTCGTCCTCCCAGATCTTCCTGAATAGAGTGTGGAGCATGTTTGCGACTGCTTCTATGTCAGCTGATATGTTGTCTGGTCGTTCTGCTTTCCCACTCTTGATTTGTCTGATGACCATTCTGATTTCTACGATTGTTGGTAAGGTAACATCTATAGGAAGGTCTGTAGGTGCCGCTTTCATGTCCGGTGGGTTTTTATGATAAGTGGAAGTATTCAAATTAATGTACTGAGGATTCCCGAAATAGTGCAATCTAAGGCAGATAGAACTACAGAAGCACAAATGAGCGTACTATATTTAGAGTTTGTAGTCAGAGGGACATCAAGTACAAAGGAATCATCAATTAGTTCAAATACTACAGTTTGGTAGGGCTGCTATGTCCAACAGTTCTTCAGAGTATTTTATCCACCATTCCAGCTGGTCTTGAATATCATTGGCTGGTCTATCTTCTATGTTCTTGGCTGATCGATCTTACCTATTTTTCTGCTATCTTCTTAATCATATTATGTAGTTGTCTCATATTTCCTTCTCTTGCAGCACTTTCCGCTTTCATTGCTATGTCATCCACATACTTCCGCCTATCAGCTCTAATGCTCTTCTTTACGCACTTGTTTATTTCTGGGTATTTGACCTGTAGCTCGGCGTTTTATATCCTATTTTCTTCTATTGTTAATTGCTGTCTTTTTGTTCTTCCTATCTTGAATCATGACTAAGGTTTTGATAAAGATTCATTTCTTATGATGACGCTTCTTGTGGTCGAGCACTTTCTGACAGTTTGGGATTATTACTTTATTAGTCCCTTCCCAGCTGTTATTACTAGTAACTTCCTCTTTCTTGAGGAGATCATATAAGGCCTGGAACATATTACTGGAAGCTGTCTTGAATTTGTTGAGTTTGTCGGTATCTCACAAAAGGTTTTATTAAACTTTCGTATTACATTTTTCAACTGTCTAGTGCTTATTCGGCTTCTCTCTTCGTTCGTTATTCTTTCATGAATCTTCTAAATTTTGCTCACGACCATCACATAAGTGTGGTTCACAATATTCACTTTCAAATGTGAGTTCGTTGTCATGTACCAGTAGTTTTATTTTCAAATTGTTAAATCTATAAGAACATAAAAATCTAAGTTCAAAATAACGAGATTGTCAATGGAACAGTCTTATTATAAAATATATGCACATTAATTGGAAACTTCTTCTGTGGCGGTCATTTTTTTCCGTGCAGCAATTACACAAAGATTAATGACAACAAATGCTAGCCTAAATGACAGCTGGTATGTGTCAAAAGTCAATGATCTCTATTAGGAATCGAATGGCTATTAAGAACAATAAATATACAAGCCGGTGAGGTTAAACAAAGGTTCAAGTGTAACTGCAATAAAAATAAACTGCAGCCAGTTTATGCAAATACTTAGGAACATTGTTCGACTACAGATAAACGTTTCATGGAATATGCTCAAAGCTTATCAGAGATTACAGAACAACACTATGGAAACTTCTTCGACACTACGGTGTGCCTCAAAAGATAGTCAATATCATACAGAGTTCATATGATGGATTACACTGCAAAATCGTGCATGGAGGACAGTTGACAAAGTCGTTCGAAGTAAAGACCGGTGTTAAGCAAGGTTGCTTACTCTCACCCTTTCTCTTTCTCCTGATGATCGACTGGATCATGAAGACGTCAACATCTGAAGGGAAGCACGGGATACAATGGACATCTAGGATGCAGTTGGACGATCTGGACTTCGCAGATGATCTGGCCCTTCTATCCCAAACGCAACAACAAATGCAGGAGAAGACGAACAGTGTAGCAGCAGCCTCAGCAGCAGTAGGTCTCAATATACACAAAGGGAAGAGCAAGGTTCTCCGATACAACACAGCATGCACCGATCCAATCACAATTGACGGAGAAGATTTGGAAGATGTAAAAACCTTTACATATTTGGGCAGCATCATTGATGAACAGGGTGAATCTGATGCAGATTTGAAGGCGCGGATCGGCAAAGCAAGAGCAGCATATTTACAACTGAGGAACATCTGGAACTCAAAGCAACTGTCAACCAACACAAAGGTCAGGATTTTCAATACAAAAGTCAAGACAGTTCTACTGTATAGGGTGGAAACCTGGAGAATTACGAAAGCCATAATCCAGAAGATACAGGTGTTTATTAACAGTTGTCTACGCAAAATACTTCAGATCCGTTGGCCGGACACTATTAGCAACAACGTACTGTGGGAGAGAACAAACCAGATCCCAGTGGAGGATTAAATCAGGAAGAAGCGCTGGAAGTGGATAGGACACACATTGAGGAAAGCACCCAACTGCGTCACAAGACAAGCCCTCACATGGAATCCTCAAGGCCAAAGGAAGAGAGGAAGACCAAAGAACACATTACGCCGAGAAATGGAAGTAGAGATGAAAAAGATGAACAAGAATTGGATGGAATTAGAAAAGGAGGCCCAGGATAGAGTGGGTTTGAGAATGCTGGTCGGCGGTCTATGCTCCATTGGGAGTAACAGGCGTAAGTAAGCAAGTAAGTTATCAGAGATTAAGCTGGCTACTAGATACTAATATGTAGTATAAAGCAATGGAAAAGGAACTGGATAAGAAGAGAATAGAAACAGAGGTTGAAGACAAACTCATATAAATAAATGACATTCTTAAACCGTATCAAGCCGTCACTCATGTTGGGGTGATCCAGAAATCGCTTGCGAAAGACAAGCAAGCATCAAGAAACACTAAGACGTGTTTCGTCCAATCAGCGTTCGCTTGGAGTCTTGGCCAGAAATACCAAGGTAGCGAAACGTCACATGCAGAAGCTCTGATTGGTTGGCTACTACAGTGCTACTATGTTTAGTAGCATTCCAGAATATTCCAGCAACCCAAGGACATTTAAGATATTACAAAAGCCCTATATTTTCTGTAATAAACTGAACCTTGGAGTAAATTATTTTCCATCATACTTGCGTCTTCTCTTTGGTGTTCAAGTCGCTGTGTATATCTAGCTTGCGGGTTACCAGAATAGTTTAGGAAACTAATATAGCGTTCAATCGATAAGACTTATCAACTCAATCAATCATGCGCTATTACGTCATATGAAGAATATTAGTTTAAAATCAATGTTTAATGAAACAGTTTATTACTTAGAGCACTTGGCTCACACAGTCACGATATGTGATAAGTGGCCACACAGACAATCAAAACGTTAATAAATCAAGTTATTTGAAACCTACCGATTATGTAAGTTTGTGCCAATTATTTATTGGCGGTCGATGCATCAGAAAGTGAGCAGCGAAAATTCCCCAAAGTATTTTTAACAGGTCAAAGGAAATGAAATAATTGTCAGATGCCAGTTCAACAGAGTCACTGTAGCTCCTACGCCATGTAATAAACCCTACGAGACATAACACCAGCGCCCACATCGATGACTGAGATAGCGCAGCAAACAGTGAACAATACCTTAAAAACCCGATAGTTTCTCGAGTTGATCACTTTTTAACCTTAACTTATGAAGAAAAAGCCTTACCGCTAACCAACTTTGAAAGAATAATCTCAGACCCTAGTTATAAAATGTGATGATATCTTTTAAACATCTTAAGAGTACCTTAAGTGCAGATACCACAGTTTCTTCCTGACGTTTGGCGCTGTTAACAGTTGTGTCGAATGCTTCAGCCGTTGGTGTTGGTCTTCAGGGACGTGTTAACAAGCAGTGAAAGCCCTTGTCACTTTACAAGAAACCTAATAAACCCTAAATACGATGCGATACATTTAGTTGAAAGTTGCAGTTATCTGTCTATTTATTAAACACTTTATACATATGGTCAAGGGGAGTGACGTCATGGTGAATTCAGGTGACAAATTGCTTACTAATGCCTGTGGTACTAATCATGATGAACATATACCACACACTTCCCGATACATATTGCCATGAAATAATAAGACTGAAAATGGTTGATGCTGATATGGTCATTGAATGAACTAATAATTCCTTTGTACTCGTGGAATGGATCTGGATTATTCATATCGTTTTGGTAACAATCTTCAATTAAATTGAATTCAGTTACCTCAGTAATGTATTTATTCAGCTAAGTTTGTAATTGTCAACGTAAATCACATCGATCAGGCTGCGTAACCTGTAGACTACACCTCATTGGAGTTGATGAAGTGGTTTTCATCTCCTCGAAAGGCTGAAGTTTATATCACCTCATAACGTTCCGTCGAGCATTACACTGATGACGTTTATGAAAATTTGGCTCTGTCACTATGACAGGAGACAGTTGAATATTCGTCTAGCGGCGTTCTTATGTCAGATACTGTCACCTGAGCTAGACAGAAAAAACACGTGTAGCCAGGTAGCTGTAAACAGAGTAGTGGACTACATTTTACGAACGATGAATTATGTACACTTATACTAATCAGTGCATCTCCTTTAATTAATAAAATACCAGATCTAATAACAACTGTTTTGATTGATGGGTTATGAATGAAATTAATAACAAAAACTTGGTGCACCTACTCAATAATGAGTATAGAAATGAGCATAGATTATTATGTCATGTACCGTGAAATGCTGAGCCATAAATAAGATAAAAGATGTATGATCTATTTACACTACTTTTGTAATGTGATGAGATTATAAGATAGTATACAAAGCACATTAGCGCGGATTATAGCTTACTGAGCGTGATACTTACATGATGTATGTTAAAAGCACCCTGTTTAACACTGAAACACATTCCAAATTATCCAAAAATGAGTCAACATTAGACGTCAATTCCAAACTGACTGTTGGTTATTCCAACACTCCTAAAATTGACTGGAAGATAGGTATCAACCATACTAACATGGAGAAATAGTTGCCGACATCAAAGTCTACGGATGGAAATAGTATGTCACTCAACCCACATAATATAACGTTATGTAAAATCTAGTGTTTCGTTATATTATGATAACATAAGTGGGCAACTTGTACTCTATCAAGGACTAAGGGATGATTTACTCCAACATAACGATCCTCACACTAAATATAGAGTACAAGTTACATATAAAGACGTCAAGGTTGCAACCTCTGAAGAGAGAGTAGCTCAAGCTACTCAGTACAAAACTATAAAATGTTTCCCTCTATGTACTTTATTACTATTAAAGTTATTGAGCTAGCAGACCATCAGATCATGTCATCTCTGTCGAGGGTTGACATTTACTCCAGTTGGACCGAGGCGGTGTGACCTCCTAGCTCAAACTGAAGTCACAACTCTCAGTTAACACCTAACTTTAACCCCCATTTCACAATGTCCGTGCACTGTAGTCACTTTGATGACTGTGTAGCACAAACATGACATTACTGAAGAAATTTATTAGTAAGGTTAGAGGAACTTAGATACAACCACCGCCGTATGGACCAACCCATGGCATGCCAAATACGTTTAGGATAATCGCTCCAAAGATCATTAAGAAAATAGGTCCATCATTACTGTATGCTGATAGTTGTACTGTTATTGACTTGAACTACAAAGTCAGTCAGTGTCGCTGACTGATTTCTTTTCGTGAGTTTCAAATAATAGCTACATTTAGATTCATCAGTTTAACTGAAGTATAGATGTGTTGACCCTGCAAAAAATCAGTCGTGACCACATAAAGTTATTGGTCACTTGGTAGCTAGAAGGTGAAAAAATCAATGTTTGTGAGATGCTGAAATCATTCGGTGTCATGAACAAAAAGTTAACATTCTAAGTAACGCGATAAAGTTCCTCTGCAGGACGATAAACAGCTAACGCTATATGTTAGTATGATAACAACCCAAAATGTATAAAAGAAAACGATACTTCATGGTTGTTAGATTCCAACGATTTAGTATGACGGTGCTGAAAAATAACAAGGGGCCAGCTTTACAATACTGATTAGTCGTTGCTGCGTTGGTGGAGCTCCATATTTTTGAAACAATTTACGTCTTTGTAATTTCCTACATCAATGTGCTAGATCAATATTTCATCAGGTGCAACATAATTTGATTAAGAATCGCGAATCAGGAATGTCAGTTCACAAGTATTTTGGTACCATCAAGATGTACCAACAAAAGACATACATGGAACATATGACTTCGTTTAACTAAATGATTAATACCCCCGAAATCTCAGAAAGGGTTGTAACTGGCTTTAACAAAAACATGGTTAACTTTGTTATGTGTAGCGAATTCAATCCGTAAATTGAATGGAAGATGATAGAATGTACCTATAAGTGTTTTACTTGTTATTGGAAAGTCGTAGGCATCGGTTGTGTATAAAGTGGGTATTGCATATTTCAACTTGTCATGATTGGTTGATGGTGTACCGGCCTTCATGAGTTCGTGGTGTTCACAGTCGAAATCCCAAAGAGTCATTTAAAGTCAATTCATTTACATTTCTGATCTTCTTAAATGCAAAAATAACATTCGTTCTTGAATAATTGTCCATTAGAAAACTGCCGTTATACTCGCCCCATTGGTGATCGTATTGGATTCCAAAAATAACGTAGTATCAGCAAATATAATATATGTGTACATCACCAACATAGATGATCTGTGTTTAGGTTTAGGTCTATTATTAGACCGTAATTCTACAAACGATTAAAAGCCTACTCGAGTTATACGGGAATGATGTGATCAACCAGCCAACGTTAAAGTCACATTATACAGTTCAAGGTGGTTAAGCTCCCAGTTGCCGAAATGTTACGGTTGATATGAGTGAGCAGTTTAAACGGCTGACGCTGAATAGACTTTTTCAGAGGGTGTTCAATGAATTTCGAGGCGAAAGATGGGTGTATCTAGTCATTAAATGCAAGTGAGAAGTTTTCTGAAACTACTTGTAAATCAGTAAATACTGCCACATAGGTTGAAGAAGCACGGTTCACTTTTAAATGTGCGCTTAGTTTACTTACGTCCTCATTTATACCATGCTTAGTACCACGTAAATCAAGTACGTATCAGCCAAGGAAGATTAAAAAGTACTGGATTATCTTTATTTGTAAAGGCTTCTAACGGTACGTGTCCCTCTACTGTAGGACTAGGAAATCTTGCAAAGCGTTGGCAGGGCTAGACTTTCATATGAATAACACTTATTTAGGAATTGTGAAAATATCCCGATAAGCTTGTTCTGCTTAACGAGGCAAACCCAAAGAAGTGGGGTGGGATCTCATCACTTTTCGCATGACAAACTTCACTGGTGTTGGGAATAAGCAATGTTTTATACCGAGGTTGGTAAAAGGGCCAAAAATTAATCATGACAATATCAATTTGCAGATAGACCTTGTGGTCGCTCAGATAGCAGCTGTACCACAACTACTGCAACGTCTCAAACCAGATAAGTCCAGTGTTCCTTACTATATTCGTCCTAAGATTATGTGAAGTGAACCTCTCGCATAGCTCTTTGAAGTCTTTGAGGCAGTCGAAGCCGTCAATAAACTAGAAAGAATCAATTAACAGTCCAGTGTACAAAGAGTGGAGTAGAGGTTTGGTAACTACTGACTGGTCTGTCTAACATATGTGGTCGTCAAATTAATGGAGAAGAGTATTCGTTCGGCTATTTCGAACTGTATGGAGGGAAATGATCTTTAAGCGATGAAACAACATGGATTTAAGAAAAACCTTTCATGCTTGAAGGGTTGATCAAATGACTTTCCGTATACTGAACGACGATGTTGAGATGAGGATTTTATACTTCCCTTCCATCTATGACTAATCATCTGAGGGAACATTCTTTGAAGGTTTAAAACTGAGGTCGAATCGTTTTCGCATGAATTTTCGTTTCTTACACCGCTTAGTCAATGACTGATTTCTCCACCAGAGTAGATAAACTCAGCACTTTTCGTTGACGCTTGCTCGGACATGATTTCGAATACAAGGCAGTCTCTGAAACTATACGATGGAAAACGTTAATAAGCCGATTATTTGCATTCTATACCATGAACTCTAAAATTTCTATTACTGTTTTACTTCCATTCTTTAATGTGATTAGTTGTCCAATCAAACAATGTAAAGTTCTTTTATGCATATGATGTCTGTGATATTGCTGTTTATGCATTGCGCACTCCGTTTTCTCAACCTCTTATTCTGTACTGTGATGTCATCACCCCCATCAGGTTCATGTAAACCTTCCTGCATCTAACCGCATACGTCATCAACGTTTATGAAGTACCGTTGATTATGATTGCTTCCTTTTTCAACATGGCCGTTTATTATGACTTCATGATTTATAGTATTCCAGTCAGTGATGATTTCACCTTTGTAACAGATATTGTTTTCAACCTGTTTATAACTGTAGCAACACAGCGAACAGGCTATTTGTATTTTAGTAAAAGGATTCTAAATAATGATAGATACTGCAACTGGTTGTGATACGACCTCCTAACTACCGCCATTTATATAACGAGACAAAAATTAAAACCTTCTAAATACATGTTTGCCTAGGTTATTAATTCTGCGACACATGTTTTCTTGCAATCATTCGGCCTATTTGACCAAGTAAACCATAGGTATGCTTAAGATGATTGCTTTCGATCATTATCCTAACCAGTTCGATGGAGGCAGCTGGGATGCGCTTGAGAAAATGCTCTTTCGCCATATTCACAAGATAGTTGTATCTAAACAGCACTACTGGTATAATGACACTCAGACTGACATCTTAAAAGCTATAATGAAGATAAATCCTGCAGAATATCAGTACCGTTTGTGTTCTGATGTGCTAGGAAGCCTAAAATATTATTCTCTATTACGCTTTTCTGTATTGACTTACGAAGATTTGGATTGCTCATTATTCAGAATTTACGCTTCTTAGCTTACTTGGTCCTTTACAGAGGCTATCAGTCCGTGGTCCCATACAAACATACGGATCTACCAATGTATTAAGATAAAGCCACTAAAGTTTATAATGTATTTGCTTGTTTGAATGACAGGACAAATAAATGGAATGTTTCTTAGATGAGCTTTATAATTTTTACATCTATTCCTGAATATCAATGTATACCTTTATTCCTTTTTCGAGTGGCTTACGTTGAAATTATTACTTACTGTATAATTAGCTTAATTAACAGGTATTTACAAATCTAACTGTACGTTTGTAATTGAGCAAACATTTCTACATCACCTTTAGTATAAAACCTGCATATAGCATGAGACTATATTTCCAGAGCCTATGTCTAGACACTGGCGACGAATATATTAATATGAAGAACAGTGGTGTAATGGCTTTTGAATTGCTTTACGTCTGCGAAATATAACACAAGTTAATAAGAAATACGTTTATATACGGCTTAAACTCCAGGTATTTATCGATTAATTCAACATGACATCCCCAAAACTTTGGGAAATATTTTGAGGTTTTTATTAAATAAGGTCAAAACACTTTCTCAAACGTTTCTGTTGGAACTTCATGGATATTTTTCTAAACGTATAAGAATTTTCCCCGAAATCTTTCGACACTAGTCCTTAGTTCATTTTTAATATTCTAAACTTTAGTAAGTTAAATAAACTAACTCCTCAAGCCACCTTTTTATGGCGATCCTAGTTATTCCAACACTGGTACGGTAACTTTCCTTTGTGCTTTTTTCCAAGTTATCTAGGTCATGTTTTAAACAAGACCTTGCGGCTTGAATGAACTCTTAGGGTTTGAATCTGTATAATTTTGTATGTACTGTAGTGGCCATACTTGTATCTAGCTTGGTAAATGCTAATCTTAACGCTTATATGGTTCTCGACCTATAAGCAGCATGCTCATCGTAGTTATTCGTTCTTGTGGCTCATTATTGCTCTTAGAATATCGTGTGACAAGTTTAAGAGTTATAACGTTCCCTCACGGAAGGTTGTAGTGACTTATACGTACGTGTTCACTGCGTTTCTATCGCATGTTCGCTGTTTAATAAGCAGTTGGTCTTCACGAAAGTCACAATAACCTGTCCGACAATTCTCTTTAGTATTCTAGCCGGAGGCTAACATATCTCGATCTTGTCTTATGAACTCGAGAAAAAGTGGCATCGTTCCAGCCCCTGTCCTAGTGAAATTTCGAGTGTTGTTTTATGCTGAGCAGCCATTTACATTGAGGGCTGATCCGAAAGTCAAGAAAGTATGCCTCTAATTTATTGATTTTTTGTATCACAATCACTTGATGCACTGAGTAACCCGTTGTGGTTGAAGTTCGCAGGAAGTAGAATATTTAGTGACATCGCTTCTAGGGCTAGTCTTGGGTTGACAGAAGACTCATGTGTAAACCACTTCGAAGTGATCAACCATAGCTTCTGTTTTTTTCTGGCATTCCTTTATCATTTGGGACACACTCCCTTCCTTAATTACAAGCGGAAATAATTAAGTACATCCTGGTTCTGCAATAGAGAAATAAAAGTAGTGTTTCGGCTGTTTGGTTAATGTTTTTTTCCGATTGTCTTCTACATTACCCCTGAGCGACATGAATTGTTTCAGCACACTAATTCCGCATGGAATTGCCAAGTTCCTTCTCTTTTGCTGTGCCAAAATTAACATCAATATCTCTGTCTTTTCTTCTTTCCGAGCAAACGTCTAGTCTCACAGTTCATCCAATTAATGCGGCATTTCTTTATTTTTGGTGCAACTTAGTGTATAAATGGCTTTTTATCGGTTGTATAACTGCCGGAAGCGACACTATGCTTGTTCCATTGATGTTCCTTAGTCAACGGATCGAGTTCCTGATCTGCCTTCCGTTTATTCGAAACAGCCTGAGCGTTTGGTTGGTAGACCACAGCAGTAATAAAATTAAATATGATGATATGAACGGTGCTCCATACAGGCGAACTTCACGGTCAGTGAAAACTGAGTCCAAGGTAGAAGAGCATATATGGTGAAATCTACAATGTCCTGGTTAGGTTGTGGTTTCTAATATTTAGTAATCGAGTGATTTTTTTGATGACTTAGTCTCCAGGTCACCCACATTTGTAGACGGTACATAGATAACCTGTCAAGGGGCTACTTAAATTGCTTAGTCATCATTTCATTGAGAGGAAATCATCCACTTTACAGTCAGGGCTATAGTGCACTACAACAAGTTTCAGTTTCATTTCGGGAAGGACAGGAGGCTTGATGGCTTGTGTTAATCCTGGCAATGGTGATCTCTCAGTTGATCCAACTTTCTTTTCAAAGAATCTACGGATGGAGCCTCAACCACGTGTTGAGGTAATGAATTCCACTCGTTGATGATTCGATGGGAGAGTCGATTGTCAGCTGACAAGTAATTTGTTCTGGACTTGTGAACTTTTTTGGAGTGTCCTCGTAAAGTCTCTGTTTTAGAAGACAAGAAGGATGAGGGAATATTAGGTGTGTATTTGGCGCTAAGCAATTTGAAAACTGTAATCAAATCACCTCTAGTTCTGCGATATAACAACGGAAAAAGGTTCAGCTTGGCCAGTCGAGCTTCATACGGAAGCTTCGCTATTCTGGGAATCAGTTTAGTTGCCGTTTAGTTGCAACGAAATTAGATAATTCCTTCAGTAGCCTAGGATGTAATTCATCGGGCCCCGTGGATTTACCTATGTCAAGCTTATTTAGCAAACCAAGGACATCAAGTTCTTTGATGGTCACGCTATCCAGTGTATGTATGGGGGGATCTGTATACGCTGACGGGAAGGGCGTTTCTATGGTATATACATTGCTAAAGTAGTTAGAGAACACTTGAGCCTTACCAAAGTCGTCCTCCACTAAAGATGAAGCAGTACTGTCTCTCCATAGAGCAGGAATATTTCCTTTTCCCCTTGTTTTGGTTTATATAGGAATACAAGCGTTTAGAACATCCTATGGATTCCTTAACAAGTTTTCCTTCGTACAATTCGTGTGGCAAATAATCACTCGCGCTTAACAAATTCCCATGTCACCCACATTGATTTGTGAATCGCTTAACTCGGGACTCTGACGATGGGACAATCCTTAAGAATCAGTGTTGATTTCCCCATTAAATTGAGGTTTGTTGATTTCTACTTCTGCTAACCTTCTTTTACTACAGTCGGAGAGATCTATGCCAGCGCGTTCTGGCCTGTTTGTGACATTATCTGCATCAGTAGGTTTCTCAATATATGGTAACGCGTTTGAAACTAGTATGTTGTCAGGCCTCTAATGTAGGATGCGAATTACCCAAACAGCATCGTCTGTATCTTCTAAAGTCACCAACTTTTCGTTTGTTGTGTTTGCAAAAGTTTTGTGTAACAACATATTCTACGTAGACACCATGACTGTGTTTCTCTGCTCTTTTAATAAGCAGTTGCTGTTTGTTCAGTGCTCATTTTGTGGTACCATTTTCCGCGGGATTCGCATTGCACGCTACTCCCTTCTGTAAAATATCAGGTTGGTCATTCATCGCGTTAATTTTCCCCGATTAATTTATGACGACCCAAAAGTTTGCAAGAGAACAATGGTGATGTAGAATCGACCTGAGATGCTAAGCAGACTAATACATCTTGTGAAGCGACCCGAAACAGATGTTATATGAAAATGGCAAACAACCTGAGTAACTGTTATGCAAAATTGATGAGCGGTGACAATTTTCCTTACCTGCTTGCTTGTTTTAAACCTCACGGAAACATTTCCGTAAGACCAGTAAGTAGCACAAAGCCATTAGGAAAGCTGGATATGGACCTCAACCGATCTATTATCAGTGAAATGACTTGGGTTAAACTGGTTACTTCAAGTGGTGTTGATCAGGACTGTCCGCTTTTCCCATTTTTAGTTGACTTTGTCGTAGAGATGACACTTCCATCCGAATTTGAAGGGTTCATCTCCCACTAGGATATCCACCTGAATACGCAGGTGGTATAATTCTGTTTGGTGAAGGCTCTGAACAAATGTAGTCTCATGATCACTTTGAAAAACAATGCAAGCATGTTTGGGGCGTGGTTTTTCTCTTACAAGTGTAAAATGTTACTTCAGGATTGGCTTGCGTTGACTCCTGAATCAGTCATAAGGAGTGAAGTTGATTACTTTGACAACCTCACTTATCTTGGGAGTTTGATCAGTCCTGATTGTCTGGTGTCTGACGAAATCTCGTCACGGGTTTAGGAGTGTCAATTGATTTTTGGCAAATTGCAGCACTTGTGGCTCAGGCAAGATATCCGTCTTTCAACCAAAGGGGGGGGTTACTGCGCAGCGGTTCTCCGTTCTATTTTATAGATGTGAAATACGACTATTAAGAGTGGGGGATATTCTTAGTTTGTTAGTAATCAATCATAGGTGTCTACGTAGCGTTACTCGTATATTTTGGGACCACTAAGTAAGCAATGCACAATTTAGAATACTAGGTAAAGATGACAAGTCGACTGATGAATTAGTAAGTCTTTATCGACTGAGGTTGTCGGTTCATGTGTTATGTACGCCCAACCACCGCCTACATGACGGAAGACATTTTCTGGTGGAGTAAGTTGGAAGGATGCTAGGAGTGGTCAAACCAAGACATGGTATCAGTTCATGAAATCATTGACACTAGGACTGAGTCACGTTAACAGATATAGAATACCTGGTTGGAGTCTGCGCGGTTATTGTAACCGGTGGTTGGAGGCTGAATAACATGGACCAAATTCGTTTGGAATGATATAGGTGCAACCACCCTGTCCTCTAAATTGTGAGATTATGAATTCCTCATAATTTTTTTATTTAACTATTTTATATGTTTGCAAATCGCATCTTCGATGCCTAATTTTTCCTATTACCACTGATACTGTTACTACTAATATTCTAGGATTTGGCCTGACTTTATCTCTGTTTAATAGGGTATAACAAGTTGAATTTATCTACCATTTTCTACGTTTTCACTGCATGTAGACATTAACTACTTGGTTGGGATTTGCGCGATAACAGCGATCTGTCGCTAAAGTGTTTGTGTAACTGCTCCGAATTCTTCACAGTGTGGTAGGCACCTTCCACTCTATTTTTCCCGCGGTCTAGCCTTCGATTATTTTTCTATACATAAGTTTCCACTCAATATTTACGTTCTATATTCCTTATGTTCATCCACTTATATCTTCGCGATCTCCTTTGATTTCTATCTTTTCGTGTTAATGTGGTATGGCTGTTTGCACCAACGCACTTTTTTCCAGTCACTATAGTGATGACTACTTACTGATTATTCCTCTCCAACCCATCTTTAAGGTGCACTCGTCCCCTAATCTTTTCTATTTTTATAACTATAATTTCAATAACCGTAACTATTAAGAGACCCGGCCAACTAATCGTTTTCACCGTTCATAACTCTGACATCATTGCACTAATCGTCACCTGAGAATTGTCGTTTCAAGTAGCGACAAATTTAATTAAGTTCAAAAAGCTTCTTACTGTCTGTGCAACATATTTACTTAGATTTTACGACATCTTAAAATTTAAATTTAATTGGAAGTAGTTCGCAAAATGAATTTTTCGTATAACTAGTGTAGTCTTGATTTTCAATCACTTACGTTTTAAGTTCTGATCTTAGAATTCATATCATTTTAAATTTTGTTCACTGGTCAGAATACATTGAATTATTGTGCTTAAAGTTTTATGTTTAAATATTGAGCCCAATTCTTTCCTGTTTTAGCAGTAAAATCTGGAAAGGCCATTATAAAACAACTTTGTCTGACCACCACTCAGATTTTGGTTGTGGTATAGTGCCATTAATGCCCTAAATTCATTACCATATCAGTTAACTAAGTTGGTTTTCGCCAACCTTTTAGAACTGAAAGTTGTCTAATACAAAGGACAAAAGTAAACGCGTAACTTTTCTCCTGTTATTTTAAATATGAATTTGCAAAGGCTGTGGATTTCTAATCTATGGAGGAATGTTAACCATGTGTCTGCTCGTTTTTCACATCCACATAAACCAAACTTTATTCAACCAACAGTACTAACAAAGACAAAACATTTCCTTGGATTAACTGATAAACTACGATATTCAAACATAACCCTTCGTATTTCTGGTGAAAACTTATTCATGATCTGTGCGGAATACCCCGTATTTGAGGATTTTGTGCAACATCTTAAACTCCCAGACACGTTTCAAACGTGGTTCTCATTAACCACACTACACATGTGGATGTGCTACGTGCGTCTACGCCAAGAAGGACAAGAAGGGTATCTCATAAAAAAATGGATGGATAGAGTATTATCAATATTACCTTTAACTAGTTTTTCTTAGGCTCTTTGGGAAGATATGAAACACAGAGTGCGTGCATTCAAAATCTTAACGAAAAGCCATAAGCAGATTAAAGTCTTTCGTGGGCAATACTTTGGCAATATGCTCGGATATGATGAAGCTTTACTATCCTGCTTAGACTCGCATTTAGCCAGTGCGTTGTGGAGTAATATATGGTTCTGTTGTCCAACAACTACCTTTCAAGAAATCGAAATATTGATTAAGTATGTCAGGAAGCAGTTAGAACACTTAGAAAAAATTCCGTCAGATGTTTTTCTTGAACACGGTACTCCAACGTTTTTACCATTAATGCAAGATAAAATAGATGTCTCCCTTGCTAAAGAACGTTTGAGATATTGTTTAACTTTTCCCGAACATTTTAAATAAATAAAACATTTTAAAATGTCTATTAACTTTCTATGTTGATATTATTTCTGTACCGTGTTCGGTATTGACAAAGGAATATTTATTTCCATTAAAGATTATCTGTTAAGGTCGTCATATATCCAGCTGCATAGTTCGTACTACCGTACTAACTTTATTTAAGTTATAAATAATGTTAACGGGATATAAACTACATTAAAGCATGCTCAATGCATGATTGCTTTGGTGCACGCTGATTGGCTAATTCTTATCCAATCAGCACTAGTCGATGATAGCAACCGATGGTTAGAGACCCTGAATGACATGGCTCAAAATCGTTTGCAATGGCGCAGGTGCATCCACTCTCTATGTTCTCCCAAATTCTAATTATCTGAATTCTTCATGCCCCTTTTTTTCCTCTTTCCAAATTTATTGCACTGGATTTTACTCGTTAAATAACATCTCCAAACCCTAATCTTCCCGATTACTGCTTATACTCTTGCTACCTCTACCACTACGGGATTTGAATCGACCAATGCATCTCTGTGTGCTAATGTGGTATGGCAACTCGAACTGATGTACGTACGTACTAAGTTCTACGTTGTTACTGACTGACTGACTGAGCACTAGTCGATTGTTGGAGAATACTCTGGAATCTTCTTATGTAAAAACTATAAATATACTAACGTTTTCCCTATTGTGCTTCTGGCTTGCATCTTGCCTCCATCTAACCTTGTTATTTGGAATATAACCTCTTTCCTGTTCAACCGTGTTCTGATTTGGGGTCTTGTCGAGTGAATCGGTGTCCAAGAATACTAAGCAATAGGAATAGCTGGGTTATAACCGTAAGAAAGAGATTATAACAGTGGCGACGGGAAAAAAGGAAAACAAATTCAAGATGCTCATATAAGATAACCAGCTTAACCGAATACTACAACAACAGCGAGCACAACTTGATGCACAATGCGGTTGTTGCAGACTGACAAAACAGCTCAGTATCCACAGCTCGAGTTCACATGCTATTTCAAGTACGTCTTCTGATGCAGTTGCTAGCAGCATCCCAGAATTCATCTATGATCCCGGAAGTGAAAATACTTTTCTCATGTGGTTCAAACGTTGGGAAGATATATTTCGAACAGAATTCTGTAACCAAGACGACGCGTGGAAGACTTGACTGTTGGTACATAAGTTGGGAAGCAATGAACATGCACGTTATACTGACCATATATTGCCAAAGTTACTTCGAGAGCTCAGTTTCGAGGAGACGGTAATTCGATTGTCAGAGATATTCGGTGAGTCATCCTCATTGTTTAGTATTCGATATCGGTGTCTAAATTTGGTGAAACGCGAAGCCAATGAATATGGTGTTCTAGCAGACATCGTCAAAAGATAACGTGAACGGTTCAAGTTACGCTCGTTGACAGAAGACCAATTTAAATGCTTAATATTCATCAAAGCTCTTCAGTCACCACAAGATGCTGAGGTCAGGACTAGACTTTTGGCTCGACGTCACACTCAGAACATTGACAGATGAGTGTAAGCGGCTACAAAACATCAGACACGACAACGAGATTATTGAACAGGCAAATCCTAATTTAACCTGCAGTAGTGTCAATGCTATTACTAGGTTAAAAGTTCAGAAGCCGATAACAACTCGTAACAAACTAACGACTGCATGCTGGTTATGTGATGATTGTCATTATGTACGATTCTGTCCATTTATGAAGCATAAATGTCAGATGTGCAACAAACGTGGACATAAAGAAGGTCATTGTCCACCGAATCGTACGCCTCAGCCCATGAAGAAGTATAAACGTCCTCAACATGTGAAATCAGCCGAGTCAAAATCTCCTTCTCTGGTAGCTGCCTTTCAAACAAACTATGACATTCGGAGAAATTATGTTACCATCCAGATAAACGGCATATCAGCTCGTCTTCAAATTGACACGCCATCAGATATCACCTTAGTGTCTAGAGAAACGTATAACTTGCTGGGTAAACTACCAATGAAGCCATCCAAGAAAACGGCTAAAAACGCATCAGGTGGTGTGCTAAAACTGGTTGATGAATTACAGTGTGAATTTTCCTTCAATGGAACTAACTGTACAGGAATATGTTACCTAACAGAACGATCAAACCTTGATCTTCTTGGTCTAGATATGTTAGATAAACTTGGAATAATGGATGTACCGATTAACAGTGTCTGCAACGTATCGTGTTCATCATTGGGAACCCCAGTACTTGCAAAGACAGGTGAAAGGTTACCAGGAAAACTGAAAAGAAAAATACGAACACATTCCCATGTCATCCGTCCTACGCCGGCTATCGAACCTCAACGAAACCTATCGATGGAGAGTCAGTTCAATCAAAATGATGGAGCACAAAGACGATTGTTTAGGGTGGGACAAAAAGTACTTGCTAGGGACTATCGTGAGAAACATCCTACATGAACAGCTGATCAGATCTTGGAAAAGAAGGGGAGTGTGGTTTATGAGGTGTCAGTTGGCTCAGAAGTTTGGATACGTCATGCTAACCAATTGAAAGCAACTTCAATAGCCAGCAACGAGATTCAATATCGATTACCTCTTGATGTTCTGCTAGACACCTTTGAAATTGAAACGCCTGGAGCAGACATGTCAGTTTTTGTGCAAGAAAAGAGTGATACTTCTTTATTGCCTAGACTATGGAAAAATCGAAAGCACAGGCCAGTCATTCGGTTGCAGTTGGACCCTAGCACCAGATCCTACGAATCTGCTCAAAGGGGAGGCGTTAGCGGGACATAGACTGGATTAAAGCATGCTCAATGCATGATTGCTTTGGTGCACGCTGATTGGCTAATTCTTATCCAATCAGCACTAGTCGATACTTGGAGAATACTCTAGAATCTTTTCGTGTAATACTATAAATATACTAACGTTTTCCCTATTGTGCTTCTGGCTTGTATCTCGCCTCCATCTAACCTTGTTATTTGGAATATAACCTCTTTCCTGTTCAACCGTGTTCTGATTTGGGGTCTTGTCGAGTGAATCGGTGTCCAGGAATACTAAGCAATAAGAATAGCTGGGTTATAACCGTAAGAAAGAGATTATAACAAATAAAAATAATATATTTGTAATATCCCAATGAGTAGAAAATTGGATTTTCTGACGTTTCGTGACATAGTGTGAGTCACTTCTTCAGAGAATAAATAACCAAATTAAAATTAATCCAAGTTTAAGTAGTACAACGGAACAATGCAAGAATAATATTTGATCAATCAAAAACAAGTTGATATCTTGTCATTTCTGTCAAGGTGATTAATAAGTGATCTGCATGTAAATTTGTGTGTGCATTGTTTAAGGATGAAAAATTGTTTGACATTTATGTTGAGAAAGGGTAGAGTTTAATTTGTAATAAGATAGTGTGGAATTGTAAATACGATCAGACTGAATGGTTAGGATAGATGGTCCAAGTAGGATGTATGGTAAGGCCTTCCTTTCTATTGAGAGAAGTAGGATTAAGCATTGTATGGAACGCCTCAGCTACCCTCCTTTCTTTGTAGCTAGAAAAGCCTTTTTGCAATATTTTGATATTTTTAAAATCGATTTGGTGGTTGTTGAAAATGGCATGAACTGCTATTGCCGATTTAATTTGAAGTTGGTTCAATTCTACAGGATTGTTAGGGGGTTTCTTTGTGTACTTAATATGTTCTTTAGCTCTAGTCATGATTTCGCGGGATGACTCTCCAATATAATAGGCATCACAATCGATACAACCTAATTTGTAAACGCAGTTCTGTGTGGACATGAAAGGGATTTTTTCTTTCAGGCGAACTAAAGTATTACGTAGTGTGTTCGTCGTTTTGTAATACACTTTGCAACATGGTTTTACTCTGTGGTTTCTATTGTTTTTGAGCTACATTTATAATGTTTAACTTCTCACTGCTATTCATCATTATTGTATCCACTCTACTCTTCGCCTTACTACTTTCCTTTAAATATACTCGATAAATACAAATATTATACTTTACATTTCGTATGATTAACTGATATATGTATCGATAATGTCTTAGAACTCATCATGTATCGCAACCCAACCACCTTTTTCTTTCTTGATAGTAGATATGCCTTCGATATGATGAACAAGACTTAGGGAAAAACGGTTTCCTTGAAGCGATCGGATATCTCGAAAACCCCGTTAGAAAGAGAACGTTAGGCAGAATGAAATACAACCACCTCTCAATTGTTCAAAACCACCAGCTGGGTTAGATAATATTTTACGAAATTAACATTGGTCTACAACCCACCTTTCAGTAGTTAAAGACTCCGAGTGACATGGTTCAAATGGATCTTGAGTTTCAGTATTTCTCTATAAATTCAGCTCATTCTGTCTCCTAGCACAAAGTTCTCAATGTTCAGTCTTCCTCGTTATTATTGCAACTACTATATATCAATTTCTTTTGTTGTTTATCTTGTCAATTCCATTTGTTTGTGTTCCTATGGTATGGCAAAATTGGACAATCCATATTTGTGACAAGCTCCATGTTATAGTTGATTGAATCTCTCTTCGACAACATAATGTAACCAGCAATAATAATATGACGATTTGTTTCTGAGAAACCACACTGGTTGATGACATACGGACTAAGTAGATTCAGTCTTGGTGGTGTGGCATCCGAAATGATCAAGTAGCCTCTATATATGTGAATAACAACCAAAGTAATGTTAACGTCCTGCTATGGTCTGGACCAACGGGCAGTATGCTAGCTCACATAACCATCAAATGATCACTGCGACTGGGAAAATTACCCTCCTAAATTATATTAACAATTAGTTTGTAACACTCATTCTTACTTGAGTTTGTGTCTGTTCACTTCTATTCCCACTTTGTGTAGTTTAATTTTTTAACTCAAAGAGCAGCTCACCGATGGCGGAAGACCTATACAGCATAATCGACCTGAAATAACTGACGGGTTCATAGTTAAATACTACCACTAAATACAAGTTCTGTACCAGCCTTTCCGCGACCACGTGTGCCACACGAACTGGCCTTCTTGACCGTCCGCTCAATAATCTAGGTCGGATAACAGATAGGGGTTGACCGTTTTATCTTAACATGGATGTCTGTTATCTATTTGACCGGCGTTCGAAAGTTTAGTGAGCTTCTACACATTCGCTCTCCATATGTCGATTCGGAAAACTTGTGTAATATGCTTTTACCCGAAGACCTGTGATCTTTCTGACGTTCATGTCACACCAAGCACCAGAGTTGAAACAACAACCCTGCTTAAACTCCAACTAACATCTTAAGGCCCCTACATACTAACACCTCAGGCAGAGTGGGAACACAAAACCAAACCTCTCGTTGTTCCATTCAATCAGTGAGGTTGGCATGGTTGCCCGACCCCACCATTCCTTATCAACTTCTTCATCGGTGACATTCTGTAAACAGCTCTAGTGGTAGGTGATAGTCGTCAGGATCTGCTACCTGGAGACTCCATGGTTGGGGTCCGGGAAATATTGCAACACAGCGGCTTAAGATGTTATCAGAAATGGCCCAGTATAAAAGTAATTGACAGGACTGGTATAATCTATTCTTACTTTCTTCATATAAGTGAGAGGAACCTCGTGCTGAAACAATCTTCGGTTCTGTTTTTCTTAACTGAACTGCTCCCATTATTGTTTTATTCTTATCCACTTATTTTTATCGGCATATTACTTTTTTATTTACCATACTCACCCTCCTTCCTCCATGTCATGCTCTCATTATGAAGTGTATAAATATTCTAGTACCCCTTTGTAAAACTATTTCAGTCAGCTACAACGTAGAACCATGCACTTATGTGCATCGGTCCAGGTTGCCATACCGCATCAGCACAACAAGATGAACACCGGATTCATAACAGTGGTTAGGTAAAAGGTGGTAATATATAAGAGAAAGATTGGATATAGAGATATAGTACAAGAAGAAAGAATTGGTTAGTAGAAAGAAAGATATGAAGCGCTTTTAATCTCTTAGTTTAAGGGAAGAAACCGAGTGTATACACCGACGCCATTGTGATCGATTCTGAGCCATGTCACCAAGAGTCTCCAACCATTGGTTACGATAGTCACGCGGACCCCAACCAAGTAGTCTGCATCTACCAACATGGCTCAGATTAGAAGTTAGTGACTTCAAGCACTGATGCCACGTTTTGGTTTGGCCGCCCCTAACTTTCTTCCAACCATCCCCAACACCGGATAGCATTGCACGTCGTGGTAATCGGTGTTCAGGCATACGTAACACGTGGCCCAACCATCTCAGTCGATGAAGATTCATAACCTCATCAACTGATTTACCATCCTTTCCTAATACCCTGCGTCTAACCTCACTATTACTTACCCGATTATCCCAGCAGACGCCAGCAATATTTCTAAGGCATCTGTGGTTGTAAAACTATTTGAGCTTAAATAACCAATTTTTAAAAATATGTCAAGGTGAAGTCATTGTAGCACTACATTACACTCAAAAATGTCAGGTCTACAAACGTTTTAGCGAAAAACCATCCGTTAGATTCTTAAAAAAAGGAACTTCTAAACATCTCGATATTTGGCAATCGTCACCTCTGGAAGATTACTCACAGTTTATGCTAAAACGCCTAACTTCGTGACCAATAGGCAGGATTCCGTAAGGATAGATTGTGTACAGACCAAATCGCAACTCTACGGATCATTGTGGAACAATCAATTGAATGGAATTCATCACTCTACATCAACTTCATTGACTACGAAAAGGCATTTGATAGCGTGGACAGGACAACACTATGGAAACTTCTTCGACACTACGGTGTGCCTCAAAAGATAGTCAATATCATACAGAGTTCATATGATGGATTACACTGCAAAATCGTGCATGGAGGACAGTTGACAAAGTCGTTCGAAGTGAAGACCGGTGTTAAGCAAGGTTGCTTACTCTCACCCTTTCTCTTTCTCCTGATGATCGACTGGATCATGAAGACGTCAACATCTGAAGGGAAGCACGGGATACAATGGACATCTAGGATGCAGTTGGACGATCTGGACTTCGCAGATGATCTGGCCCTTCTATCCCAAACGCAACAACAAATGCAGGAGAAGACGAACAGTGTAGCAGCAGCCTCAGCAGCAGTAGGTCTCAATATACACAAAGGGAAGAGCAAGGTTCTCCGATACAACACAGCATGCACCGATCCAATCACAATTGACGGAGAAGATTTGGAAGATGTAAAAACCTTTACATATTTGGGCAGCATCATTGATGAACAGGGTGGATCTGATGCAGATTTGAAGGCGCGGATCGGCAAAGCAAGAGCAGCATATTTACAACTGAGGAACATCTGGAACTCAAAGCAACTGTCAACCAACACAAAGGTCAGGATTTTCAATACAAAAGTCAAGACAGTTCTACTGTATGGGGTGGAAACCTGGAGAATTACGAAAGCCATAATCCAGAAGATACAGGTGTTTATTAACAGTTGTCTACGCAAAATACTTCAGATCCGTTGGCCGGACACTATTAGCAACAACGTACTGTGGGAGAGAACAAACCAGATCCCAGTGGAGGATTAAATCAGGAAGAAGCGCTGGAAGTGGATAGGACACACATTGAGGAAAGCACCCAACTGCGTCACAAGACAAGCCCTCACATGGAATCCTCAAGGCCAAAGGAAGAGAGGAAGACCAAAGAACACATTACGCCGAGAAATGGAAATAGACATGAAAAAGATGAACAAGAATTGGATGGAATTAGAAAAGGAGGCCCAGGACAGAGTGGGTTGGAGAATGCTGGTCGGCGGCCTATGCTTTATTGGGAGTAACAGGCGTAACTAACTAACCTAGTATAAACGGGGAGCCAACGAGATACACTCTCCCTTTATCTGGCGGCCTGAATGCTGGATCTCGTGGACTAGCGGGTGTGGGCATAGCATTAAATGTGAGGGCAGAACAAGCACTATTAGGATGCATCCCTGTTAACGGTCGCTTATGTGCTACTCGGATAAACAGCTCCGTAAGAACTCGGAAGGATAGGGACACGTCATTTCTACCTACACTCCCACTGACTGCAGCCCGGACGAAGTGAGATGAATTTTACAGGAAGCTTCAAAAAGCTAAACACTCGGACATAGTACTTGTAGCAGATGACTCTAACACCCAAGTGGTTAGCTTAAAACAAACAGAAATACATTTAGGTAGGTATTTAGGTATTCCGGATCAGCGAACAGATAATGGTGATCGTCTGCTGCAACTGTGCTCAAACAATCGTCTATTTTTAACAAGCACTAATTTTAAGCATAAGAAGAGACATCGTCTAACGTGACGACCTCCTGCAACAAACCAACGATGGACTCCAATAGGCCATATTGCCATCAGTCATCCTTGGAGAAGCCAGATAGAAGGCTGCTGCTCATTCTGGGGTACATATTTAAACTCTGTTCATGCTCTAATGCAAGCACACATTCATTTTACATGCCAAACCACTGACTACCACGACGCACAATGCTGACCAGTGTTGGAGACGGATGGAAGTTAGGGGCGGCCAAACCAAAACGTGGCATCAGTCCATAAGGTCACTAAGTCCTGGCCTGAGCCATGTCGGTAGATCCAGACTACTTGGTTGGGGTCTGCGCGACTATCATAACCAGTGATTGGAAACTCTATGTGACGACTCAGAATCGATCACAGTGGCGTAGGTGTATGCGCTCTTTGTCTTCCCATAAACCGTGAGATGAAAATTACTTTATACCTTTCTTTCTACGAACCAATTCTTTCTCTTTGTATTGTATTCTTATATGAAATCTTTCTTTTATATATTACCATCACTGAGATAACTACTTCTGTGGATTTAATGATCATCTTGTTGTGCTAATGAAGTGTGGCAACTTCTACCGATGCATATACGTGCCTAGTCCTACGTTTCAGCTGGCTAACCGACCTGTACTTTATCCTATCGACTATGCACTACCGTGGCTTTCAGTAGACAAGGGACGTGTTTGTAACTTTTATGAACTATTCTCTAGCCCAAACGTATTCTAAAGCTTATAAAACACAGGCATCATACTGTAGTTAGGTGAATAACATGAAATAGTTTGACCTAGAAGCAATGAGGAAATATAGGAATCATGAGGTTGTCGTTTTCAATTACGGGTAACTCAACTATTGCATTGGTGTGCAGAGTTTCAGCCTTTCTTGTTTATCAATATCGAACTAGCGAAACAAAGTAAGACTAACTTCTGAATAATATGTGGTAGGTTAGCTTTAATATTATTAAGCAAGGATTTTACATACAGAATCATCTTAAACTACATTAGAAAGACGCTAAAATACTTTTGATATGTACAGTAAATTTATGAGGAAACGTAAATATATTATAGAATGTATGCCTATATATCTTATCCAAAGTTATCAGAGATCATTTTTAGACTATTTCAAATAAAACATGTTCTCAAAATCAAATGTGTCGTAGAACATAAAGATGAATAAAGTGTCTCAAAATCACTGGTGTATGCACCATGAAAGGCGGAAAATAATCCTACCAAATAAATCACATGAAATAGCATTTGTAGTGTATACAGTTTATGAATGTGGATTTGAAGAAAAAGCCTTGATATCCCACACCTAAAAACAAAAAAAACCGTAAACTAGTCAGTAATTAAGGTTACAGAAAAACATGCACCATACATATACACAATTTCAATAACACGTTATTTTTCCAATAGAGAGTTGATGACATTCGGGAATTCGAGCAGCAAGGTATCAAAATACAATGTTTTGTGCTATGAAATACCTATATTCAACCAAAACAACGCTGACTGATAGTTATACACTTGAACCTAATCATTCTTTACAGGTTTAACGATAATACAATTACTGTCATAGTGAAAGCGACGGCACAGTCAGCAAATAAACTCGTACTAGTGATTCTTCTTGACTATCATAGCGCTTAATTACCATACACTACTGACTAGCTATTGTGTAACTTATATACTTCATTTAGATTTTCATATAGGATCTATATACATTAACAATATAGAGGCCAATATAATGAACGTCCAGTAAGCTTGTTTTGCCACACTCAAGTAAAATAAACGTAGAGACTCGGTCGAACCTAGTGTGAAGCAAACAGCATGCTTATTTGAACTGTTAGAATAAATTTCACTCTAAATATTTCATGTGTGAAATGTATACAAAAACTGTCTAAAGAAATTCATCATGTTTGTTCGTAACAGAAAGAAATCTAAATAACACCTGTACAGGGAGATAATCAAGGTGAACAGTACTATATTATTTTACCTTATCAATGAAATGCTCTTTATAAAATTCGACGTAACATTAAACTAAGGTTTCCAAGAGTTTTGTACGGTTATTTAATTACGCTTAAACACAAAATGTAATTGGTGGAATGCTCCAATGGCTAAAATTATGAATATTGGAAAAACGTTCTGTTTGTTCAAAGACGTCTAACCTAACTTTAGCTTGTCAGTTCACTGCTATCCACAGAATGGTATCACCACACTGAATTCTCTTAGTTTTTTTTTCAGTCCAGTCCAAAACATGTCTTAGAAATATAACATTTGAGTTATATTTTCACAAATCACTGCTAACGAAACGGTTTTCCAGCTGTTATTATACATAACTTTTGCTATGGTCATTATTATTGGCTTAGTGTGAGCTTGAGTACGTGAATTACCAAAAACCCAACGATCGAAAATACCACTTCAGTAATATGCTTGTTTATACCATGATATAACGTCTGATAATGAAAGTTGTAGATAGAAGACATACTTATTAGTGAAGAAGTTTGTTTGCTAGAGTCATGATTCTAGTTATTACACGGGTCACTTTGACCTACTTTAAATTTCAGAAAACTACATATTTGTTGTAGTTACCTTGATAATCCGATCTTTCCCAACCGTTAGAAGTAAGTTCAAGGATTCCTCTACACGAATACATGTAACAGGATGGCGAGCGTCAAACGAAATAGCCAAACTCCTGCGACTAAAAAGATAACGAAACAAAGTCAGTTAATAATTACTAAGCTATGTTGTTTTGCTTGACAAAAATGTAACATATTCATTTATTTAAACACAAAAGCATTGGCTCAAAGAGACTCCAAAATATATATGCGCCACATAAATCATTGAATTTTTGTGGGCTGGGATACTACCCGTGTGCTAAAACTGAAGCGAGTGGTTTTCTTAGACGACCACTCCCCGAGATTTTGACCCAGAGGTTTAATCCACAAGGGAGTGGAGCTACGTTAGGAGATGCAGTCCCATGGTAGCTAGCGGCCAAGAATAGGTTCATATGCCATTTGTTCTGCCGGGATCCTGGAACCCATGTGCACAACTGGTTCGGAGTCATGATTTTCCAAATTCCCTAGGTGGATCCTCCGTATCCGCTAAGCCGGTTGAAGCGCTGGACGTTCCAATTTTCGTCCTTTCAGTTTTTTAAACAAAACTCTCAATATGAAGAGGCAGTGGGTACGACTTTCCTAGCAGTAGCTGTATACGCTAGGCCATGTGTGGGTATTTGGAGAGCGAGGGCGGACTCTCTCCACCTGGAGAGGGGGTGAAAATGTACCATAACAAGGTAAATAACTGGACACCAATATAAAACAAGAACTTTAGGAATAGACTTTACAATTCTCATATATTAGATGGAATATCACCAAATCAACAATATCGAACGTTCCACTTTAAGGTTTATTACTAATGAATTCGTCAAGCATAAAAGTGCACCTGACAAATAGTCCGCGTGCTGATGGTACAAACGTTGTATGAGGGAATTTCGAAACACTCGCCATACTTCATAACTCAAGTGCACTTTCGTTAGAACACTGATTAAGCGGACAAACATTGATCTTGAATACTAATTATCAACAGAATGAAATGACTCTCGCAGTGAATTAAACTCGATAACCAAAATACAAACGATCGATATTTGTCAGCTCTACATATACTACTTGATAGCTTGGAACAAAGTAGAAAGGGCAGAAATTTGAATTTGACTGAATGCAGTGGACCCTAATTATTAATATTAGAGCCACAGTTACCGCTATTTACAAATACATAATTTTATTTGGATAAAAAATAGACCAACTTTAAAATCACATACTCTGAATCAGTTATTAAAGGAAAGCATTGATTGCATATACGAACATCTTTTTCAAAACCCATGCACGGTAGATTAGACCGATAAGGAGAACATTTGTCACAAACAGCATGACCACATCGACGACAGTGATGCTAAAAGTAGTGAAGGAAAAATATGGGTTGAAATTAAACACCAACTTAAACAACATAAAGTATGATGTACTATAGAGTTCGGAGGAAAAATAATCGTGTCTATCGGCTATCGCAAAGAAAAGAATGAACATCTGGATTCTGTAACCTAGACGACGCGTGGAAGACTCGACTGTTGGTACATAAGTTGGGAAGCAATGAACATGCACGTTATACTGACCATATATTGCCAAAGTTACTTCGAGAGCTCAGTTTCGAGGAGACGGTAATTCGATTGTCAGAGATATTCGGTGAGTCATCCTCATTGTTTAGTATTCGATATCGGTGTCTAAATTTGGTGAAACGCGAAGCCAATGAATATGGTGTTCTAGCAGACATCGTCAAAAGATAACGTGAACGGTTCAAGTTACGCTCGTTGACAGAAGACCAATTTAAATGCTTAATATTCATCAAAGCTCTTCAGTCACCACAAGATGCTGAGGTCAGGACTAGACTTTTGGCTCGACGTCACACTCAGAACATTGACAGATGAGTGTAAGCGGCTACAAAACATCAGACACGACAACGAGATTATTGAACAGGCAAATCCTAATTTAACCTGCAGTAGTGTCAATGCTATTACTAGGTTAAAAGTTCAGAAGCCGATAACAACTCGTAACAAACTAACGACTGCATGCTGGTTATGTGATGATTGTCATTATGTACGATTCTGTCCATTTATGAAGCATAAATGTCAGATGTGCAACAAACGTGGACATAAAGAAGGTCATTGTCCACCGAATCGTACGCCTCAGCCCATGAAGAAGTATAAACGTCCTCAACATGTGAAATCAGCCGAGTCAAAATCTCCTTCTCTGGTAGCTGCCTTTCAAACAAACTATGACATTCGGAGAAATTATGTTACCATCCAGATAAACGGCATATCAGCTCGTCTTCAAATTGACACGCCATCAGATATCACCTTAGTGTCTAGAGAAACGTATAACTTGCTGGGTAAACTACCAATGAAGCCATCCAAGAAAACGGCTAAAAACGCATCAGGTGGTGTGCTAAAACTGGTTGATGAATTACAGTGTGAATTTTCCTTCAATGGAACTAACTGTACAGGAATATGTTACCTAACAGAACGATCAAACCTTGATCTTCTTGGTCTAGATATGTTAGATAAACTTGGAATAATGGATGTACCGATTAACAGTGTCTGCAACGTATCGTGTTCACCATTGGGAACCCCAGTACTTGCAAAGACAGGTGAGAAGTTGCTAGAAAAACTGAAAAGAAAGTTTGCCTCTGTTTTTCAGAATAGTCATGGCCACTGTACCAAGATGAAAGCTCACTTACCAGTGAAACCAGATGTCAAACCTATTTTTCGTCCGAGACGTCCTGTACCGTATGCTGCTCTTGAGCTAATCGATCAGGAACTTAATCGCTCGCAACAGGCTGGTGTAATCCAACCAGTCAACTACTCTGCGTGGGCCGCACCGATCGTCGTGATCAAGAAGGCCAATGGGACTATACGTATATGTGCCGATTTTTCGACCGGTTTAAATCCTGAAGACCTGTTTGCCAAGCTTAATAGTGGTACATGTTTCGCGAAAATACACTTCTCCTATGCTTATCTGCGAGTGGAAGTAGATGAAGATAGTAGAGAGCTTCTGACCATTAACACTCATCGAGGGTTTTTCAATACACCCGTCTACCGTTTGGCATCAAGACCGCACCTGCCATCTTTCAGCAAATAATGGATACGATGCTAACAGGTATACCTGGTACAGCAGCTTATCTAGATGATATCGTAGTTATGATTTCAACTGACAGTGAACTTTCTTATCGACTACACCAAGTTCTTAACCGAGTGTTGGAGTATGGTTTCTAGCTACGTGAGGAAAAATGAATCTTCATGCATTCGATCAAATACCTTGGTTTTATCTTAGATAAGAACGGTCGCCGACCAGACCTTGCCAACATCGAAGCCATTCAGAAGATACCTGCACCAACTGATGTTTCTTCATTAAGATCCTTCGTGGGGTTAATCAGTCATTACAGCACATTCTTGCCTGAAATGCATCGAGTGATAGGTCCCCTGAATGAATTACTATTACAAGATAAATCTTGGCAGTTGTCAGCAGAATGTCAGGCATCTTTTGACAGAGTCAAATCAATGCTCAGCTCAAAGATTCTTTTGACGCACTTCGATCCCAGCTTGGGAATTGTTGTTGCATCTGATGTCTCTAGTCATGGAGTTGGAGCAGTGATATCTCACGTGTATCCGGACAAATCAGAAAAGACAATTGCCTATGCTGCTAGATCGCTTACCCCAGCCGAGCGAAATTACAGTCAAATTGAAAAGGAAGCTCTTGCAATCATTTTCGCTGTCAAAAGATTTCATAAAATGCTCTATGGTCGTACATTTACTCTACTGACAGATCACAAACCTTTGATTGAAATCTTTGGTTCTAAGGAAGGAATCCCGGTCTATACGGCTAATAGACTACAGCGCTGGGTAACAATGCTCCTGAGTTATGATTTCAATATCAAGTATCAGTCGACAAATACTATCGGTCAAGCCAACTCTCTCGATTAATTGGAGTTCAACATCCTGGATCAGAGGATATAATCATTGCCTCCACAGCAGTAGACCCAGAAATACGAAGTATAACGGCAGAAGCCATTCGAAACACTCCAGTGACATCAGATGAAGTCAGAGAAGAAACCCTTCGAGACCCAACCCTACAAGTTAGAAAGTTCCACCTGGAAGGGTGGCCCTTGAAAATCAGTTTCACAGAGCTTCAACAGTTTTACCAGCGTAAACTCTCGATCATCGACGACTGCCTGCTGTTTGCCGAACGTGTCATAATCCCCAAGAAGCTACAACCAGCAGTGCTTGAACGGTTGCACGCAGGACATCCTGGAATAAATCGCATGAAAGCACTAGCACGAAGTTATGTATACTGGCCGCATTTAGACAACCAACTGGAGCAGCTATCCCGTTCGTGTACCAAATGTGCATTAACAACAAAAGCACCGCTAAAAGCAGGGCTGCAATTATGGCCAATACCACAGTCACCGTGGCAGCGTATACATTTGGACTTTGCTGGTTCACTTCATGGACAATATTACTTTTTGGTGGTTGATGCATATAGCAAGTGACCAGAAATTTTTCTCATGGAATACCCGACTGCAAGTTGCACAGTCGGTAAACTACGTCAACTATTCAGTTGTTTCGGAATCCCGGAATCGATAGTTAGTCACAACGGGACACAGATTATGTCCGTAATCTCACAATTTTGTCGGCAGAACGGAATCCATCACGTCCGAACACCTCCATTCCATCCCCAATCAAATGGCCAATTGGAACGCTTTGTGAGTACATCTAAAAATGCTCTAAAACAATCCAAAGGGGAAGGGACCACCGAAGAGATCTTAGAGAGGTTCCTGCTTATTTATCGCTCTACACCGAACCCTCAGACGATTAACAGGGTCTCTCCAGCAGGAACCCTACTTGGCAGAAAAATACGAACATATCTCGATGTTATCCGCCAGCTTTTGAGCCTCAAAGAAACCTATCGATGGAGAGTCAGTTCAATCAAAATGATGGAGCACAAAGACGATTGTTTAGGGTGGGACAAAAAGTACTTGCTAGGGACTATCGTGAGAAACATCCTACATGAACAGCTGATCAGATCTTGGAAAAGAAGGGGAGTGTGGTTTATGAGGTGTCAGTTGGCTCAGAAGTTTGGATACGTCATGCTAACCAATTGAAAGCAACTTCAATAGCCAGCAACGAGATTCAATATCGATTACCTCTTGATGTTCTGCTAGACACCTTTGAAATTGAAACGCCTGGAGCAGACATGTCAGTTTTTGTGCAAGAAAAGAGTGATACTTCTTTATTGCCTAGACTATGGAAAAATCGAAAGCACAGGCCAGTCATTCGGTTGCAGTTGGACCCTAGCACCAGATCCTACGAATCTGCTCAAAGGGGAGGCGTTAGCGGGACATAGACTGGATTAAAGCATGCTCAATGCATGATTGCTTTGGTGCACGCTGATTGGCTAATTCTTATCCAATCAGCACTAGTCGATACTTGGAGAATACTCTAGAATCTTTTCGTGTAATACTATAAATATACTAACGTTTTCCCTATTGTGCTTCTGGCTTGTATCTCGCCTCCATCTAACCTTGTTATTTGGAATATAACCTCTTTCCTGTTCAACCGTGTTCTGATTTGGGGACTTGTCGAGTGATTTGGTGTCCAAAAATAATAAGCAATAGGAACAGCTGGGTTATAACCGTAAGAGAGAAATATAACACGACCACTAGTAAAATTGATTTGAAATATAACTAACAGAATCAACTGAACGTGGAGGTTTGAAGCGCATACATTGACTATAAGGTGTACCGTAAGTTAATAAATGATTACCAACATGACATGAAAACTATAAGGGGGAGATTTACCACAGCACATACTGATTTACACTAGAGACCACGTGATCTTACATATAAGTTATGTTCTCGGTCAGTACAAATTTACTGGAATTCGATAAAACAGTGAACTCCTTATTCTTTCATCTTAAGTCGTCTCCGATTATTTAGAATACGATTCGCTTAAGTGGCGATCACTGTCCTAACAGATATTAGCTGAAGAGTTAAAAACAAATAGGAAGGTTACAAGCTGTTGCCTTTGTAGCCTTCAGCTTTTCTCAAAAGCTATGACAGTCATTCCAGAGTGAGTAATGTGGTGCTGATAATTTGGTTAACATTCACTGAATTGAAAGAACTGCATTGCATTAATGAGCATACGTTTAACGAAACTGTATAAAAATGAATACCTGACGCACACCAACCGACATGTTGTTCCACATTTTACGGACATTCCAGAAAAATGGCCCGCTACAGATATGACAGATATCTGATTCTGACCAGTTAGGACTTTCTACGCGTGAAGGGTCCATAAACCAGAAAATCAGATAACCATCAAGACCACCGGATATAAGTAGTCCTTTGTACTTACTGTCCTTGACGTTTGCAGAAGAGGCACCCATACTCCACCAACATATTGACGATACTTCTTTGGAATGTCCCTTGATGCATAAGTAGTATAATATAAATTATAACCATTAATATACGATTAGATCATTTATAGTTTAGTAACAAAGATTTTTTTAAAGTATTCACTTAATTTGTTGTTGAAAAGAATTCCCACAAAATACTGGCCCGTACAACAATGGGACCAAATGGGTAGGGACTTATAAAACCTGCGCTATGCTATATCGTGAAATGCACCCGAAACAGGCCTGGTAAATTTAAATAACATATCAGACAGCCAATACCTTAGAAGAAGGAAAGTCAGTTGGCCAGCTGAAACGTAGGATCAGGCACGTATATGCATCGGTAGAAGTTGCCACACCTACAAAGAGAAAGAATTGGTTCGTAGAAAGAAAGGTATAAAGTAATTTTCATCTCACGGTTTATGGGAAGACAAAGAGCGCATACACCTACGCCACTGTGATCGATTCTGAGTCGTCACATAGAGTTTCCAATCACTGGTTATGATAGTCGCGCAGACCCCAACCAAGTAGTCTGGATCTACCGACATGGCTCAGGCCAGGACTTAGTGACCTTATGGACTGATGCCACGTTTTGGTTTGGCCGCCCCTAACTTCCATCCGTCTCCAACACTGGTCAGCATTGTGCGTCGTGGTAGTCGGTGGTTTGGCATGTAAAATACTTGGCCCAACCATCTCAGTCGACGGATATCTTGCCTTGATCATAGGTGACATAAGTTGGCAAAAGCCAAACGAGCTTTATGAATCCGCGGAGATTTTTTTAGGCACCAATCAATTAGTGCCGAACAGACTTCCAAGATAAGTGAAGTTGTCGACGTGTTCGACCACTTCACTCCCTATCCTTAGTTCAGGTGTTGACGCAGGTCAGTCCTGAAGCAATAATTTTCATTCAGATCTGGAGAAACGCATTCCAAACATTCTGGCATTGTTGCTGAGTGCTACCAAAAAACTCTGCATTTTATTAGTGTCTTCACCAAACAGGACTATGTCATCTGTGTATCCTAAGTAAGTATATCTCCTGGTAGGAGATCAATTCCTGAAAACTCAGTCGACGAGAACGTTATTTCCAGCAGTAGGTCTATGATGAAATTAAACAAAAATGGAGATAGTGAACAGCCTTGTCGGACACCACTTGAAGTTGTGAAATCGGATGACAGTTCGCCATAAGCCCTGACTCGATTGGTAGTGTTCGAGTAAAGGGACTTCACAAGATTAACGTACTTCTGAGGTACGCCTTTCAATGACAGACACTGCCACAGAACATCTTGGTCTAGAGTCAAATGCTGCTTTTAAGTCAATGGAAGCTATCATGTCAGATACTGATAGGCATGCCTGTGTTCTAAGATCTGATGAATGTTAAACTTGTAGTCGATGCGGCCACGACCAGGTCTTAAGCCAGCCTGGTTTTCACGTGTTTGCAGTTTGCGAGTCTTTGTTGGGCGTCCTGTATTTACTGAGGCTAGTATTTTAGATGTTATATTAGTCAAACTAATGTACTATGATAGTCACAGGATGATTTTGACCTCTTATATATTGGGACAATCAGTGATTGTGATCAGTTAGATGGGATTACGTCCAACTCCCGGATTTTAGTTAAAATATTAGCTAACCTAATCGCTAAAACTGGATCACCATACTTAAAGACCTCTGGAGCCAATCCATCTGGACCAGCTGCTCTTCCTCGTTTCAGATTAGCTATACCTTTTTAAGCTTCGATTAGAGTCGGCGGACCTACTTCAGTGTTCCACTGAGGCTGTTTGGAGATGGTGGGTAGCTGTAGAGCAGCTGAACTGCCCCTTAAAGTGTTCAACCCATCGTTCTAAATATCTAAGAGTGCCGTTATTTCCGAAATTGTCTCAATTACACTTAACTTCTTAATCCCGGTTTCTTCTATTAGTCCGAAAAGCCGTCTTGTGTTACATACAGCCGCTGTCTTTTCCATGTCTTTTGCTTTTGGTTAGCCTAGATCTGATTTGCTTTCGCTCTTCGTCGTGTTCGGAGCCTGATGGGATGAGTTTGCGAGGGTCTATCAGAACAATAGACTTTGTAGAAATCCACTGATTTTTCGTGGCCCTTTGATTCGAATCACTAATAGATGACGCTGCTGTTTCCACAGCTGTTTGTATATCTTTACAAGTAACATCCGGGTCAGCCTTGTTTTCAGAATTGCCATCGCTGACTTCATTTCTAATGGGTCTGTTTAATGTGGCTTTTCTGCATTTAGTGAGGCGCAGGTGAATGCGTGCTCGTATTAGAGCATGAACAGAGTCTAAACATGTACCCCAGAATGAGCAGCAGCCTTCTATCTGGCTTCTCCAAGGATGACTGATGGCAATATGGCCTATTGGAGTCCATCGTTGGTTTGTTGCAGGAGGTCGTCACGTTAGACGATGTCTCTTCTTATGCTTAAAATTAGTGCTTGTTAAAAATAGACGATTGTTTGAGCACAGTTGCAGCAGACGATCACCATTATCTGTTCGCTGATCCGGAATACCTAAATACCTACCTAAATGTATTTCTGTTTGTTTTAAGCTAACCACTTGGGCGTTAGAGTCATCTGCTACAAGTACTATGTCCGAGTGTTTAGCTTTTTGAAGCTTCCTGTAAAATTCATCTCACTTCGTCCGGGCTGCAGTCAGTGGGAGTGTAGGTAGAAATGACGTGTCCCTATCCTTCCGAGTTCTTACGGAGCTGTTTATCCGAGTAGCACATAAGCGACCGTTAACAGGGATGCATCCTAATAGTGCTTGTTCTGCCCTCACATTTAATGCTATGCCCACACCCGCTAGTCCACGAGATCTAGCATTCACGCCGCCAGATAAAGGGAGGGTGTATCTCGTTGGCTCCCCGTTTAAGCTAGGTTAGGTTAAATTTTTTAGCATAAACTGTGAGTAATCTTCCAGAGGTGACGATTGTCAAATATCGAGATGTTTAGAAGTTCCTTTTTTTAAGAATCTAACGGATGGTTTTTCGTTAAAACGTTTGTAGACCTGACATTTTTGAGTGTAATGTAGTGCTACAATGACTTCACCTTGACATATTTTTAAAAATTGGTTATTTAAGCTCAAATAGTTTTACAAAGGGGTACTAGAATATTTATACACTTCATAATGAGAGCATGACATGGAGGAAGGAGGGTGAGTATGGTAAATAAAAAAGTAATATGCCGATAAAAATAAGTGGATAAGAATAAAACAATAATGGGAGCAGTTCAGTTAAGAAAAACAGAACCGAAGATTGTTTCAGCACGAGGTTCCTCTCACTTATATGAAGAAAGTAAGAATAGATTATACCAGTCCTGTCAATTACTTTTATACTGGGCCATTTCTGATAACATCTTAAGCCGCTGTGTTGCAATATTTCCCGGACCCCAACCATGGAGTCTCCAGGTAGCAGATCCTGACGACTATCACCTACCACTAGAGCTGTTTACAGAATGTCACCGATGAAGAAGTTGATAAGGAATGGTGGGGTCGGGCAACCATGCCAACCTCACTGATTGAATGGAACAACGAGAGGTTTGGTTTTGTGTTCCCACTCTGCCTGAGGTGTTAGTATGTAGGGGCCTTAAGATGTTAGTTGGAGTTTAAGCAGGGTTGTTGTTTCAACTCTGGTGCTTGGTGTGACATGAACGTCAGAAAGATCACAGGTCTTCGGGTAAAAGCATATTACACAAGTTTTCCGAATCGACATATGGAGAGCGAATGTGTAGAAGCTCACTAAACTTTCGAACGCCGGTCAAATAGATAACAGACATCCATGTTAAGATAAAACGGTCAACCCCTATCTGTTATCCGACCTAGATTATTGAGCGGACGGTCAAGAAGGCCAGTTCGTGTGGCACACGTGGTCGCGGAAAGGCTGGTACAGAACTTGTATTTAGTGGTAGTATTTAACTTCCAAATTTGAACCTATATTCTTCCAAAATTCAAAATCGTGTTAAACAACTTATGGTGTAAATAACAGAAATTAAACCAAAGAAGAGAATAGTGCACTCACTTGCAACTCAAAAGATGAACCTTTAGCTCCACCAATATCCCAGAAGATAACAGAACGGTCAGCACTGCACGAAAATAAACGAGAATTTACACTATCCCAAGCCAGAAAGGATACTGACTGCTCATGACCACGGAGTTCACGAATTACACGACACATTACTTGACCATTGACTTGATTAATGCTCAGTAAAGTAATGCGACCGCTGCTATCACCAACAAACACGTAGTGTGAGCCAACATCATATCTGTAGTCGAGAAAACGTAAATCCCATAAGTAACAATAAAACCGTCCGACTATAACAACTACAACGGTCAAGAAATCGAAAAATGAAGATAAAAGGTTTATGTAAAAGTATGAAGCAAAAAGATGCTGAATCTTACAAGATCATAAACATGGACGTATTTATATTACTGATACGTCCATGCATTGTGCTAATAATTTACACTATTCTGACTTTAGTACCATGAACAAGACTATTATGTTGCCTTTTTTGCCTTACCATCTAAAGTAAAAACAAATTTTGCAAAAGAAAATATTTTAGATGTAGACGCAGCATAATCCATCAAAATACATTGGATTTATCGATAATATATCAACAAGAAATGATTAGAGTTTTTAAACTGAGTGATTGTCATTGACGCAAAATACGACAAAAATGTATTGAGATTGCGTGAAGTATTCACATTAAGTAGTTTACTATAATAGATTGACTTGATTTTCATAAGTTTTAATATCCCCAACAAGTTCCCAGGGTGGATATGGAAAAGCGCCGGTGATTTTGTATCCCACTAGATGTTTGGATACTACGTAGGTATAAGCTGATGCGATGACAGATACTAACACCATAATATACAACGATTCGTTAACAAGTTCCCGGAGGCAAGATAGCACTAGCCAAGTAATTAGTTGCTAGCTTTTAAGATGAAGATTGTACATGGTAAATAGTGTTGAACTATATCCAACTTATCAGAGATGTACAATCCCCAAATACAACTTGAGGAAAAAAAACGATATCAACTGGGATGGTTTATCAATGCATTATACTATTTAGTGTGATTTTGTCCATGGACTATCAACACATTTTTACTATTATTTGTTTACTGACATAAACTCAATCCATAAATTCTAATCAAGACAACTGATGCATAATCGATGAACATAATTGTATTTTGAGTTTATTATACTAAGGCCATTATCAGCAAGCTTTAACTACGAAACTGGTCGTTTTGTTTTAGTTAACAGGGCAGGACAGAAGATAGCCGCGTTTATTGCATCGAAGTGGTTGAAAGATAAAGTGCGAAAGTAATACAACTCATAAGCTTTGATACTAATTTGAGTGAACTTGAATACTGAATGTGTGGTCAGATATGGTGATATCTTCATAAAAGTCGTAAGTTGTAATTGAGTGCGACTAACTAGATAGAGTAAATGATAAATGTTTATTTATGCTAGTTAGAATACGGGATTATGTACACCTCTAGACATCAATGGAAACTGGATCGCTCCGAAAGCGACTCGTTTCCAAACAAACACAAGTATTTACGTAGGGAATGATTTACATACATTATATACAATAAATTTATTTGTGCATGAAGTGGTATATAAGTTAACTGAACATATTTGACTTTTCCGTGAATTTTGTTATTTTATACGCGATTTCACTCAGAACTTTGTTAAAGATATTGTGCTTGACAGACACTACAATAGTACACCTTTGCCACGGTCGAACATAACAGATACTCAGTGTGTTCCGTGTTTCGCAGAACACATGCACACGGATCCTTAACACAAAAGTCTAAAAAATTATCACATAGTCTCACTCGAGATATGAGAAACGATTTTTTCAACAAAAGAGAATTCTTTTGTGTTTCATTAATAAGTCCGCAAAAGTTTAGAGAGTAATGTTTTAGATCCCGCGTAAATATTTGCCAACCAAACCACACAAAGTAGACAAGCTGTAGTGATAAAAACAATCCACTTACTCCAAACAAGTGGCTGAGTGCTCTAAATTATGTTCACATATACGTCTACCACTATTGGTCGAATACCATGCGACAGTACGATCTTTTGAAGCAGATACAACCCAACCCATATCTGGGGTGCAAACGATCCCAGTTGTCCTAGCAGTATGAGAGAGATAGTCCCTTTTGTGTTCAATGTGATTCAAATCTTCAGCAACGTCATATTCTACAACCGTTCCATTCTCCAAACCAACGAATAATCTGTGTAATTCGGCAGAATACGTGATACAGGTAATTGGACCTAGTAATCAAAGCACTAATGTAATGAAACGTACTGGGTAGCAGCTCGATAACTGTTGGCCAGAACTTCCCAGTATCTCTCCTGACCCAAATCCTCAAAGTGCTAAATATTTAGTCAGGAATATATGCAACTTGCCGATCGTCTGATCCTGTGACGATAGAGTCTCTACCAGGAATAAAGATCGCATCATTTACACCACAAGAAAGTCCGTCGATTTTGAATACTAGTTCCGGCTTCGTAATCTGGCGAGAAGGATCCTGAATAACAGCTGCCATCTGTAAGAACGTAGCACACTAGTCAAATAGCCACGTTTTTGTAGCTCACTGTCATGTTCAAGCACACAAACTGAATTAAGATTCAAGAAAGAACACACAAGACGTATTTTATTACTCGACTAATGTATTTCTGTATTTTCAGTATATAATCTAAAATAAATCGACTGAAGAGTGAACACTACATCACTCAGTATATTTTAAGGGTTGGTCACACATTTCAAAAAGTAATATACAACAGACATACCGTTTGTTCTTGATTTGTGAAACAATATATTATGTTATTTGCCTTTTAATGGCCCGCTGGTAAATCATAATACGATGTTATCCTTATTCCTTAAGAATAGGTCAAGTTTCCTCTTGGAGGACTCCTGGGAAGGCGCTTGGACTAGTTCAGTCGGCAGCGAATTCCAACATTTGGAGTAGAAGTTGTGTCTTAAGTCCGTTCTGCTATGTTGTGTCTCCAGTTTCTGGGTGTTACCCTTTAGGTTTGTGTTGGAGCTCAACTTTAGTAGGTGTTTAAAGGGATGTCCAGAAGTGTTAGAAGGTCACCTCTAAGACGCCTATACTGTAGTGGGTAAAGTCTAAGTGATTGGAGACGCTCTTCATAAGGCTTGAATTTGGGTCTCCAAACCGATTTCGTGGCTCGACGTTGAATACGCTCCAGAGTGTCTTTATCCTTTTGGAGTGAGGGAGGATATACTATTTCCGTACTCTAAATGAGGACAAATAAAACTGTTGAAGATTATGTCGAAAGTTCTACCGTCAAACGGGCCAAGAATGCTCTTCAATGTTATTAGTGCAAGGTTTGCTCGAGAATCATTTCTGTCACAGCGTAGGACTTTAAATCATAGGGTACCAGGACTCCTAAATTTTTTCAACTCGGGATACTACCAGAGAGGAGTTTCTTGGGTTGTGACTGTAGTCTGCAACATATAGCAGATGGACCACTTTACACTTCGAAGTGTTGAAGGTAAGCCCGTTATCGTCTGCCCAACTTTGAAGCCGAGTCGGATCCTCCTGAAGTACTTGTATATCGTCTTGGTTGCGTATCTCTCTCCAAGGTTTCACGTCATCAGCAACAAGTATATCTTACACAATGATATTTCTTCCATGGAAAAACTTCTCACGAGATTCTTCAGGGATGTTCCGGATGAGATCGCGCTCAGAATACGATGTGCCAGGCAGTATTCTTACGTGCCCATCGGATTTCAGTTAATGACCAGTTAACTCTACGTCGGTAACATCCTTAAGTGGTACACGAAGCAGCCTCGGGTGATTTTGATGCTAAGATTCTCTTCCTCGAGTGAGCCGTGTGACCGTCAGAGGCTCTATTCCGGGAAGTTCAAGCTTCTTGTTCTATTCTCCCCAGAGCACCCTGTCACTTTTGTCCTGCAAACTGAGAGGAAGGTCAGGGTTGTCTTTGAGGTTCATGATTATGGGAGAGTCATCACGAACAGTTATTGTTTTACCAGGTTTTCCGTTGAGTTCAGGTTTAGTACCTTGTTGTTTGGAGGTCGAAACGAGTTTCCGAATCCTAGGCTCTTTCATGACCGGACAGATATTCTTGGGGATGGGTTGTGCGACCAAATTACTAGTTGATTTTCGTACAGTACTTGGGATGTACAGCTTAGACGATGACTCCTGGTCAATTTTAGCTCTGTTAATGTGGTTCCAATCACCTAAAGAGTTTTTGAGAACCACTAATGCATTCAAGGACCATGAGCTGGGAGACCCGAGTTTGCTGATGGAGTCTATTACCGTAGACGTTATGATGGTGCTGAGTTTCAACATGTCATCACTAGTGTTAATGCATGCTCCATCCATAGTAGACCTGTAGACGTCCCTATTCTTGTTTTGGTTGCTCCTCCTTGTTTTTCTACCCATTTTATGACTGTCTTTATCCAAGTTTGCTGACAACTTATTCCTCAGACCTGTCAATAGGACAATGATGTTATTCAGCAAAACGGCATCATCCGTGTTGCACGTAACACATACCCACTTATGATCCGATTTGCTGGCTCTGTTGTTAGCAGTTGGTGTGAGATCTGTGCTTGCTTCATGGAACCAACCTTTGCACCTATCGCCCTGCATACCAGATGTAACAGCGAAACGGCATCCAGATCGTTTGCATGAATTTTTCATGACTATACTGACGTAAACTGTATTATAGATGCTAGAAAAAGCCTAAGACGGTTAAACAAGACACTTAAAAGCACACTAAAAACGGCCGAAAACGAATAAAAACGGTTGGAATGGACTGAACTAGCCTTCACGTGAAAAACTGAAAAAAACGAATAGTAAACTGAGGCAAAGTCACAGTTAACTGTTAAATTGAGTGAAACTCAAAAAAGTAATCTACCGGACGAATAGCTCAGAATAGAGTCTTTAGATCAGAAATGGTAATTATTTTGCGTAAGAATACAGCAAACGTTTGAGAAATGCAAATCGCATTATGACTAAACTTCTCGTTTTAATTTCAGTGAAGTACACTGACTCACTCTTCAGAAGTAGCCCTAGTGGATTCGTAGCAGTATATGAAACCTTAGAACAGGTGGATATAAAGAGCCGTTCGCTGATTAAATTGGTTTCATATCAACGTTATCCGAGTACATTCCAACAAGATTATCCCAGTACCAACATCAGCAGATAATGATGATTGGCTCGTAATATATATTTCATTTTGATTTATCATCGAGTATAATACACAAACTCTTTAGTCGTTGCAGGTGCGTGTGCTGGTGAATAAACTAAAAATGGTAGTTTGATAAGCCTTCAACATTGAAACTCACCTCATTATTTTTACTGTACACACTCCTAACTGACGTTGCTTCGCCAAGCATCATTAACAAATCACGTTTCAACACGCCTCGCTAGGAATCTCTTGTGCAAAACTAGTCTGTTTAGGTTGCACATACTTAAACGCATTGGTCGATATAAAAAGCATCTTCGCATCTTTTCATTTTCGGCTTTTGATCCGGTTGAATTTGGGATTTTTACGTAAAGAGAAGTTTGGGATAATAGCATTGACATACACTGAAAATCTATGACATCTTCAATGATGAGTCTCTATGTGATCTGGTGCATCAAGTAGTAAACTGTGTCTTTTACCTTCAACAAATCATTATTCCCGCAATTGCTGTAAACTAAAGTACCATATTCAAGAATAGGATGATATACTTTTGACTTAATAGCGATCTAGATTCGATGTTGTTGAGATCGATCACAATGAATCCTAAAAGCATTCTTGCTTTGAATACTTGAGATGCAATATCCTCAAAAAAATTTCGTACTGTTGGTATATCTTGAACCCAAGCCGCAAACAATGTTTTTAGGTTTCAGAACGTGTTTGTTTAATATCAGATTTAGGTTAGGGCTGCAACTAATGTAAATGAATCCACTTTTATTAACGTTCAGTGTCAGATTCCGCAACACGGTCTGTTTGTATAACTTGTTTATGTATTCTTGGATTACTGTTGAAATATAGCCTTCTTTGGTAGGAGACGAAAATGAATAACCCAAGATTAGGTCGTCAGCAGAAGAGAATCTTGTACATATCTGGAAAGTTTTGAACTGGTCTAGGCCTGTCCATTTCTGGGGGAATCCAGTAATAAGATTCGTTAAAGCTGTTAAAAATTACACCATATCGTGCCTCTTTCTCAAGTTTATTTGAACATGTTTGAGACAATTCTGACGATATTGTGAGCTTTGATGATGATGACGAATTAAGAAGAGAGAAATGAACGAAAAATCGTTGCAGATATATGATAAGTAAATGTGTAAATGTAAAATAGGACCAACATTTGTCCGTTTCAAGAATTTTTTAATTATGGATTTTGTGGACAGATACACTTTACATATCAAAGTAATATACGGTTTCCATATTCAGGATCAAACAATTAGAATGAGTATTGCATATGGTACATATAAAATGAAAGTTGGCATCAGTTTAAATGGGAGGGTTGAAACGAGAATTAATGCCACCCACAAATAATGTGATACTTTATGATCAGTATGTGTGGGACAGTTTTAAGATGTAAGCACTGGCCAGAAGCTATAACGAACTCATCGAATTAAACGAGAAACTCCGGAAAAAGGATTACACCATTCGAAGGCAATTCAAGGGATTATATGCAAATTTTGCAACTTAATTCCTCATGTGATGCGACTACGTTTTTGAAAGTGTTAAATTGAGGTTCAAATTAAACAATTAATTCCAATAAGTGTGTGAGTTATAGTGTCCAGATACAATTCCATGAATAAAATGTACAATTTCAAGTATTATTCCTTGTCATATAGGATTATTTATCGTTTAAAAGTGCTAGATTGAGGTCCTGTTCAATGGTCAGAACAGTTATATAATTATGTTCATATAACTACGTGTTTTGAAGTTGTTGGATTGTAATCCTGACGCACATCAAAACATATACCGAATGTTAATATTTCTGAGAAGATTTGTTTTCCATAATCTCAACAGAAAATATTGTTTTATTCTCGGCTAAGATTAGAAGAGAAGACCACATGCCTTGGTAGGCAAGTAACGTTCTGCTGTTTGAGCTCTGGGTTGTTATCGAATGCCTACTGTCAGGTATAGACTTAAGCGCCAGAAGTTGCTTGTCATAGAACGACTTGGTAAATTAGCGAGACCAACATAAACTGGGAAACAAGAGTCCCAGACGCATGATACATAGTAGAAAACCTCAATATCATTGAATGATTTTGCCAACACCAATCATTAAGAGCTGGCGATGAACAAAATTTTCCACCTCACAAACGTGAGTGAATCGTAATCAAAACGACACCGTCAATGTTTGCTGGTTAGTAAAGCCATCCTACAACCATAATGATGTTAAATAATAATTATCTATTTTCAAATAAGGATATTTTAGGCGAGGCACCCCATTTTATAGACAAGACCAGGCCGTTACAAACGCAACAGGATTTACCGTAATACATTATTCAGTTTGATTGTTATGTTATATAAAACACACTGGTCGTAGAAACAGGAGGACAAACATGAATATAAGACTCGAACGTCTACTACTTTAGTGCGTTTTAT